GGCGCCACCCCCACCGCCACCGCCCCCGGCCCCGCGCCCGCGGGCGACGCCGCACGCCCCGCGCCTGTTTGTGGCCACGCGCCGCCAGATGGCGCCGCGGCGGCCGGCGCGCCGTTGGCCGGCACGGTGGCGTGCGACGCGGTTGCCGCGGCGCCGGCGCTGGCGCCAGCGCCGGTGCCCGCGCCAGCGGCGGCGGGGGCGGCGGGGTGGTGGTTGTTGGGCTTGGTCACGGGCAGCTTGTCGTGCTTGGGCTTCCGCTCCTTCTTCTTCTTGGGCGGCCGCGGGCCAAACGCGCGGCGCTGCAGGCGCTCGCTGAGCATGATGAGGGCTAAGATGCTGCTAACGCCAAACGCGATGACGAGGACCCTGTGCGTGAGTGTGTAGATGTGTGTGTGTTTGTGTGTGTGTGTGCATGCGAGTGTGCAGGTTCTTGTGGGTTCATGTAGGTGTGTAGTGCCAAGGGGGGTTTGCTAGACACGACAGGGGTTGGGTCACAGGGGGCGGTCTTGGGGGTGGGATGAGGAGGCGTGCGAGGGGTTGAGAGCAGCGCCAGGTGCGAGTGGGGCGGCCCAGGTAGGCAGACGCCGGCTCGTCAGCGGCATCCCCCCAACACCCGCCCGTCGCACCAGGCAAAGAAGCAGTACACGTTGCGCCAGTTGTAGCCTGTTTGAGGGGGGGTGCAGGGCCGCAGGGGCGGCGTCAGACGGATGTCAAGAGGCGAAGAGACGGCGAGACGCTGAGGGTAGGTGCAGCAGGCTAGGGAAGGACAGCAACCTGCCTGGGTGCTGGGGACCCAAACCTTCTGCATTATCACATGCATATGTATACGACCAGGTGTTTACATCCAAAGGATGTAAGCAATTAATGCACACATCGGCAAATCACAAGGGCCCGACTAAACTGTGACACTCCAGGTCACACTCACCGTCGTTGCCGGCCGTGTTGCTGGCGTTGGCCCAGACTGAGAACACAATGGCCATGGCCAGCCACCAGAGGAACCCGACAGCGGTGAAGTTGAAGTCACCCACCCTGATTAGTCAAACGTTTGAGGGTGTGTGCGTGTGTGTTTGTATGTGCGTATGTGTGTGCAACGAGGAGCGCTTCGCGATAAGCCACGTGGGCACAGCCGAGATGCGAAGGCTCCAGCGCGGACAGGGGCACCAGCCAGCGGCCGGCAGGAGAGCGGGGGCGGCAGCCTGGCCAATCCATGTACCCCAAGGACCTGCCAGGGGCCCGCTCGCCTCTTGGCGGCTCTGTTGGAGCGCTGCCGGAAGATGAAAGCCGCCAGTGTCAGGCAGAGGCTCGCGGCCGGCGCAGCGTATGACAGGTTGCAGCGCGCGCCGGCGGGCGCCTGGTCGCGGCTGTTC